GCTGCGCTTTCACCTCACGCCTTCCGCAGAGCCCGACGCTCCCAGACGCGATGCCCGGGCCCGGTCAGAAGACGGGAACCAGCTGTGCGCTCGGAGCTGCCAGGATGGGGACGGGCGAGGTGATCCTGCGGAGACCGGCGCCGGTGAGTGGCTTCAGGACGGCCCGGGTGTCGACCGGGCTGTCAGGACATGGAGTGCCAAACGCCCATCAGCTGGGCTCTCTCTGGCTGGCCTGTCTCCAAGACGCTTTGCTGTGTTGAGCGTGGTCTTCCGAGCGTGGCTGCTGGGCATCTCATCCCTACTCGTCTTACCAGAACGCTACATCAGACCACACCCTTCTCCCGTCCTGGTTGCCGAGCTGCCAGCGGTTGCATGTGTTGAACCTGCAGTCCCCTCGCAGTTAGGCCATGTCTGCGTTGCCAAAGTGGGATGGTGTTCGCTTTTCCAGCCTGAAGGCTGGCTGTCAAGAGGACGTTCTATTCCGTGTGCACAAATGTGCACACTGTCGTTGGTTTTACACGTGTGAAGTGTTCCTCAAATTCATTGATGTATTACGGAGGTTTAAAGGTGATGTGTTAGCCCATTAGCCCATCTGTTTTTCTTTATTTATTTCATAGACCTTTTTTTTGTTTTTTCAATAAGTTTCATTCATAATTCTTGCTAGTCTTTTTCTGATGGGTTAGAAGTGGTGTGCGATTTACCGAGAGTGACTGAAAAGGGAATAACATAACTCTGGCAGAGCCAAAAAAGAAACAAAACCCAAGAACGAGAATTGAAGTGGCACTCTCCTCTCCTGGGGCCATATAGAACATGTTTTCATTTGCTAATGGGCGCCACCACAAAATGGAATTACACTGGTATGAAAATTTAATGTGTTTCTGAGGCTCAAACATCTGCTGAGGGTTTTGTGACAAATATTTTAGGTCTCTTTCAGAGACCTTGGTCAGTGAGAACTAGAACTGAAGTGAGATTTTCCCTAAAATGTGAGCTAGAACAGAGCTGCTGTGGCTGGGATGGGATGAGAATTGGAATTAATTTTGTGTTGGGAATTAAAATAACATTGGTTCCTGTTAACAGAAGACAGCAGAATCCATATTAAGCAAGAGGAAGAGTTGCGCACTGCAGATCAGCAGGAGGGGGAGGCTGGAGAAGTTCCTGAAGAGCCCTGCCCGGGTGAGTAACTGCATACCTTGGAGGGAAAAAGAAACAGAGGTATTAAATTCCAAGGGTTTGGTTGTTTTGGGGGTTTTTTTCATCCCTCTTCTCATGTATTCCAAATCTTTTATAAAAAGCTCACACGTTTTGAACAGACTTGCCGTCAGTCCTGACAGGTAAGGGCTAGTATTTTGTCTTTCCCTTCTTGCCGCCATTTTAAAGTATGGCTGATTTTCATCCAAGCAGTGCAGTGTGGAATTGAAAATGTTTCATTCTCCCTTGAATTCCTTACTTTGCTTCCCTCAAGTTGATAGCTCTTAAGCTGGTTAAATATCTGGTGCTAAGTGGGCCATTATTCATTTTTTGGGTCCAATGGGTTAACTTGAAGACCAGTGCCAGAAGAAGGTCCGTGGTTGGTGCCATCCACTTCAGGTTGGCTTTTCCCTCCTGCCTTCTCTTCTGTGGTTTTTCTGCCTACACGAGCGAGCGGACTGACTCCTTGGTGGTGCCGTCGCTCTAGCAGGTGGTACCCGTGAGGCCGCGCAGCCCAGGGACCTCCTTCTGGCCTTCTCGATTTGCATCACAAATAAACTATTCTGCTTTGGAGTTTGTCTGTCCTTACTCATTCCAAAGAGTATCAGCTGCTTCTGTTGGCTCCACTGTAATTTCACTTGGCTTCCAGTGTATGTAGCAAACAGGGATTTTTAGACCATCAGGTTTCGTTAAGAAACTGGTCTTATGGGAGCTTGGCTTGGAGGAAACAAGAAAAACAAAACACGAGCAGGTTTCGCCCTTGTGAAATCCTGAGCTTATGCTCTTATGATATGCTTGTCTTGAATCTTCTCCTTTAGCAGAGCAAGCCTTTTATGAGCCTGAGGCTTCAAGTCAGACCAAGAAAGGCACAGAGGCGTGTGCCAGGGAGCTGCCAGGCGCAGAGGGTGAGGACCTCCCAAGAGGCCCTGACGCAGGTGAGGATTCCCTGGCAAAAACTCCCACTGCAGGAATTACCCCTCTGGTGGCTCTTCATGTTGTGTCTTCCCTGAAGCTTTGTCAGCACTTTTCTTATCTTTATGAATTCCCGAATCTTCCGTGCTTTGCATCTTTCTCCGGTGTTTCTCAATTGTGTAAATTCTTCCAAATGAACAGGATTTCAGACTTATGCAACTGATGTTTTATCATGGATTAAACAAGAGGAGGAGCCACGCTGCCCTGAACGACAAGACTTGGAGAAAGAAGAAATCTCTACAGAGCCAAGTACAGGTCAGTAATGGATTTCAGCTGAGATTTCTGGGACAGTAAATCTGGTTTAAAGCATTTTTTATACTATATTAAATGTCACAACCTTATAATGTAAGCCATGAAAGAACTGGAACAAACCTCAGTCTGCTAGTTAATATTTGTTCACAAAATTTTGCGGTTCTGTCAGCTGAAGAGTCTCCTTCCTCCTTCAGCTGGCCTAGAACTGTCATAGGCGCTGTCTTGTGTTTGGCTCTTGTTGTTGTGCTCAGGCCTTACAGATCAGGTTTGTACTTCCAGCTGGCTTGATGCCTTGTCTAAACCTGGTACCAATGAACATGGAGCCCTGACTTTGCTTTCCCAAGCAGGAGAGCCACTCTGCAGCAAAAGAGAAGGCAGCTTTAATGCAAAACGGTTTCAGGATGTGCTGTTTGGAGATGCACGTGCTAAAATTCATTCGGAGGAGTTTTTGTACAGAGCGCACTTGGAGTATAGATCATGCTAGAGGTGACGTTAATAGAGGGAGATTTGTCTTTGGATCAAGGCTTAACCTCAGGGAACGAGTATGCAATTTTGGATAGGGATATTTTGGATAGGGATATTAAATACCATGTCTTGGGCCACCGCCCCGGGACCACTCAGTATAGCTCTCCCATGGGTAACTGAGGAGGGAGTGCAGAGGAATATTTTGAGTAGAAATCAGTTGGTAGCCTGGAATTCCTTCACTTCATGTGAGTTATTTAAACATTCATGGGCACGCGATGAAATTACTATAGAGTAAATCAAGGGATAAACTCTCAGTGTGCCAGGAACGGCGTGGGAGCTGCTGACGTGAGTGATTTTGCCCCACAGAAAAAAGTCATCCGGGATATAGCCCTGCTGTAAGGCTGGATCACCTCCACCTAACTCCTTCCTGAGGGAGACCTGTTCCAAATGCTCTGAGAGAGCTCAGAGCGTGGGCTCCCCAGCTGACTCTGTTCCAGACCTTCCAGTCTGTGCTCACACGTAACCTGGAGTTACTGGGGTGAGAGGACATGCTTAGACAATTACTGTAGAGCAATTGCCTTTTACTTTCACGCTTTAGCTTGGCCTGTGGTAACATGTTTGTGTGCTGATGTCCTAGTACCCAGCCAGAGAAATAAGAGCTCAGGATGTTTGTGCGGTGCAGGTAACTTTGGACTTAGCTGGCCGGTGTTGCTGAGAGACTTGTGGTGCTTCATGATGCTCAGTGGAGTCTTTCTGTAGCAATTCTCAGGTGTTGGAAGGGTCACGGGCCTTAGGGGACAGAAAAATCGCAGAGCGTTAGAAAGCTGGGCTGAAGAGCGTTGGTGGACGTAATCTGGAAGATGAAACCCTGGATATTTGTCACAGGAAAGAGTAATTACGGAAAGAGGGAATTTGCAGGTCAGCAGAACAATTTTGTCCAACGCCAAATGTAGAGCTTTGCCTAAGCAGCTTAGGTGCCAGGTACCTTTTTGAGTTGGATTATTAGGAGTCATAAATGTTTTCCAAGGAAAGCAGGAGAGGCGTCTAGGGGAGAGGCAGTCTGGCCGAAATCTGTCAGTCTGGAGGTGTCTCTGCATCAAGCCGGAGCTGTCTGCCTGTCTGGGGATCACTTGTAAGGTGCAGGAGCCTTCCTCTCCACTCAGCACTGCTCCGAGCGCTCTGAACAAGACACGGCAAGTGAGTGTCTGCCCCCAGAAGCCCAGCCTGCAGAGACAGCGGTTCACGTACAAGGAGTGCATCCACACTGGCTTGCTGAGCTGGCTCCGGTGCCTCAGCGTGGACTCTTGCTTCTCTAGATGCTCGGTGGAGTGTCCAGAGAGTAGCTGAGAGCACTGAGGTGTGACCGTGTCTGCTCTGTCAGGGAACAGACCTCTTGCTTCAGACGTCTGAATGAGAAGGTGAAGATGAAACGTTGCATGAGAGAATTTTCATATAGATTTCAAAAAATAGTTGCAAAAAGACCTTTCATTTTCCTGGACTTTTTGTTTCAGTGGAACACTGGTACTTGCCCTCCCCCTCAGTGTTAAAACCTCCCATCTTCTTTACTTTGTTCTTTAGCATGACATGGCTGTAGGCTTGGAGGGATATTCCTAAGAAGCTTCTTTATTTGAAAGACTCTGAAATCTATCTGTTTCAGGGCATGATGAAAACACAAAGAGGGACTCTCCGGTAGATTGCTTTGAAAGCACAGCGTGTGACTCGGGGGTACCAGGAAGACCTGGAGAGAAGTTTTCCAAGGATCCTAAGCCTGGCGTGACATGGGACAGTCGTTGGAATTCAGAAATGATGGAAATAAACACCACGGGGGACAGCCTTGGGGGTGATACTCGGTACGACCGAGAGTTTGGTGAGCACTTAGATTTCTTTAGCACTCAGGAAAACAGTGTTGGAAATAGACAGTGCGCGTACAACAAATGCGAGAGAAACTCCACCCAGCGGGAACATCTTCAGACTCCCCCGGCTTCCCGAGAAGGGGAGATGTTTCCAGGCCCCACATGTGAGAAGAGTCTCAACGAAAGGGTGTTCCCTCTGCTGCACTCGCAGCCGTGTGCTCCGGGTGAGCAAGACGTGGGGCAGGGGGCTGCTCCTGCCTCCTGCGAGGGGCTGCCCGCAGGGCCGCAGCTGCCAGCCCACACTGAGCGCGGACAAAACCCTGCGGGTGGAACCAGGCTTCGTGACCACAACGGCCTTGGCGGAGAGGAGCAGCCGTCTGCGGAAAGCGAGGAGAACTTCCCCGCAGAAAACCTGTTAGCCAGCCCCTGCTGGGATCACCCGCAGGACAAGTTGGAGGCCTGCACCAGGTGCAGGCAGCACTTCACGCCCAGGGGCAGCCCGGCAAGCCAGCAGCAGAGCCAGGGCCGGGGCAAGTCCTACATTTGCAGCGACTGTGGGAAAAGCTTCGTTTGCCATTCGTGGCTCGTTAGACACCAGATGACTCATACGGGAGAGAGGCCGTACAAGTGCTCCGAGTGTGACAAAAGCTACCGGAGAAAGGATTACCTTCTAAACCACCAGCGCCGGCACTCGGGAGAGGGGCTCTTCCAGTGCCCCCTCTGCAGGAAAAGGTTTGTGCTCAGGAGGAGTTTCATGAAGCATCAGGAAAGTCACATGCAAGAAACACATCTGACGTTGGCCAGTTGGCCCTGCACAGACATCAGGGGGTCTGTAATGCACTCCATATAGAAAAATCTGTTCAGCTGGAGCTTTCACAGCCCTCTTGGCTGCCACCCTTGCTGGGCAGGAGGCAGGGCCGTGGCGGGATCTGTGCTGGGCCCTAGCAGGAGGAAGAGGCTGTCCAACAGCCGTGCTGAGCCCCCCCCGAGGCAAAAGGAGACAGCTGGGGGGCTATTTTCCGCAGACCGCGTTGCAGTAGTCTGCAGAGCTGTTTTCACAGCATTCACCAGTGCCTGTAGCCACTGGGGACGTGTTGGAGCTGTGTAGGAGGTCTGTGGTGCTCAGAGTTACAGCTAGCCATGAATCCACACAGGAGAAATCACATCGACACACAGAACAATTTGTAATGCTACAGGCTGGAGAATATCTGAAATGTTATCCCTAGACTGCTGAGAGTCTGGAGTCCAGGGACTGGGCTGAAAACAAGTGAGTTAAAGTTACTAATTGTCCTGTAAACAAGTGACATGTCAGGAAGCACCCACTTGTGTGTAATGCTTTGAGAAAGGAAGTGTTGACCCTGTGGCTGTTTAAAAGAAGCCTCTTCAGAAAGCAGCAACTAAGCAGAGGGGAGCAGAGCTTGAGAAGCAGCTTGTTTCTGCAGTTAAATCATGGAGCTCCTGGGGCTCGGTGCTGCTGAA